ACACAAGCGTCAACCACAGCGAGCGGCTTAAAACTCAGGATTTCTTTTCAGTTTTACTTTGATACAAAGTCAGACGAGAGCGCGTCTTAATAATCATATTTCAGGTAATCTCGTTTCAGCTTCATACTCTGTGAGTAGCTTTGCATGATTTACAGCTCAACAGTATTTCTGTTCTTTGTTATTTGCATGGTTAATCTTTGCAGCGGTGGAAGATGGTAAGAAGTGTAATTAGAAGGCCTTGTTGTTGTTGCGTGTCTCCGCCCGTGTGTGGCGCTGTTGTGACACGTCTTTTATTCGCAGGTACATCCTCCACGCCAAGAAGACAGCATTCGTGGTGGAGCACGACTTCATCATGGCGACCTACCTGGCCGACAGAGTCATCGTGTTTGACGGGATTCCCTCCAAGAAGACTTCAGCCAACACGTAAGATGAACCGCCGAGTCTGAGCTGCTTCGTCAGCTCGCCGGCCGCCGCCACGGTAACGTGATGTTTGTTTTTTCAGGCCTCAGAGTCTGCTGGCTGGGATGAATCGCTTCCTGTCGCTGCTGGAGATCACATTCAGGAGAGATCCGAACAATTTCAGGCCGAGGATCAACAAACTCAACTCCATCAAGGTAACGCCACGACGACCATGTTTATTTGAATCTTTATTTAAACACGCTGACCATCACACACGGACGGACTCTTGACACGAAAACGCAGCACTGAACTAATAATATTAAAAAGTAACTTCTGGGTGTCGTTTCAGCCAGTCGTGCATTTCCTGATTTTGGTAACCTGTCACAGGTGCCGCTGCAGCCAGTTTGCTGACGCAGTTTATGATTGTAGTTGTTTTTATCGGCGCTTTAGTGACGTCAGTGCAGACGCTCAATGATCGTACTGAGGGGCACCTGTGTGAGGCTTCTTCTCCTCCTCCGGGGTGATGTGGAGGTTTTATGTCAGTGGTGACACATGACGAGTCCTCGCCCGTCAACACCGGTATAAATGATACGGAGCTGTAGTGATTTCATTGTGACCTGTGCCCTGCCTCACAGGTGTCAGGATGCACAGAGCTCCACACAGCAGAGTCCAGCTGTGATTGGTGCCGTGCTTCAGCCAGGCGGAAATCAG